CGAGCTACCTTCACCTGGTTATTTAGATTAAATAAAATTTACTTTATCGGTTTTGCTTTTTCAAAAAATAAATTCGGATAATTTTTTTATAGAAGAGGGGGCAAACGAGCATACTGTTCACCTGATGTTAAGTGACTACAGCCGCCCATGAACATCCCCAACACCAGAGGAATTGTAGGTGGGTTGCCAAAAATATAGCCTAGATCCTGGCATTGCTTTCTGTTCGTAAAGTCTCATCACAATCAGTTTAACTATTCCGAAGATCAGCCTAGACAGACATATTATACATATTTACTTTTGTTAGTTATGTTTTAATATCCTGCAGAAAACCCCTGAGCTTAATAGAAGTCAGTTATTTCATTTTTTTTATTGAAAAAGGGTGACAAAACGGACACACGGTCCACCTGATGGTAAGTAGATGCTGTGGCCCATAGACATAGATAGAAATGCAGATGCGTTGTCACCCTTGAGGACTAAGATGGAATGCCTTGTTCCCAGTAAAACGGGTCTCCGGTTCTGTACACTCACCATACCAAACACAGCGGCATTAAGCTGCTATTTTACGCTGGTGTTCTGTGAGAACGTTATACTTCCCTGGTCGAGTCGACCCATCCGTGCTACAACAACCATAATATAGCTGCAGCGTGGCTCTACCACATATAAATAAATAAATAAATAAATAACATTAAAGACAGATATTTCCATTATATTTATATGTATAGATTTGAGTTTCTTACATATCATATATACAACGCACTTGAAGTTAGTGCGTACGCAACGCGAAGCGAAACGTCTGTTCGACAGTCCTATTCTTGTCCTGTTTTTCATCAGTAACTACTCAGGGCGAGTTTTAAAACGGTAAATTGTTAGATTTACAGTGTTCTATACATCATTTGCTTTATTGATGTTCCATAATTATAGCCTATAAAAGTCTACTGATGAACTAAGTAAGTCTCACCTAAAATTTCCTATTTCCGCTTCGTAGGTGGGCAGTTTTCATAATTTTGAGTGGTTATCAGGAAGATGCTGCTGCCCCTCTTGAGTTTCCCTCTGTCGCCTCTCACCACACCCACGCGACGATATGGCGTAGTGGATATTCTTTCACTGCCATTTGCATTATCTATTGGTGTCAATAGTCTTGTTAATCAATATTTGAATAATTGTAAATAAATGTTCCAAATGTTTTCATCGCACATCGCGACTAAATTCACAATACCATACAAACACCACTTTGTAATCTACTAAAATTATCTTCCTTGCACGATTTCTTTATGGAATTTTTCCGGACTGATACGATTTAGGGACCTTCAAGAAAACAGCATACTTCTTTCAAAAAATACGCATACTTCTTTCAAGAAATACCGCAATTCTCTTAGTGAAATGCCTCTGAAGTTACAGACTGTCATGGGCGGCAGTGATCTTCCCATCAGATGATTTGCATGCTTGTTTCCATTGCCTTTTACAGAAAATCCTTCGACATGTAGAGTTTAGTTTTATTTGTAATTCTAACAACTTCCCACCTTATGCATAATAGCCATAGGGTTCATAATACCAAGAATAAACCTCGCAACCTGAAAGACTCACTCATAGTTTCTATCCGAACTAATATAACATACAATAAATATTTTCAACGTGCTATATATAATATTAATTTTACTAAATATAAAAGTACACAGGCCAATACGGCTTATACAACTGTCGCATTACACGGAAATATGAACCAAATGTAGTATACAATACGAGCTAAATCTGTTCGTGACACGACAACTGCTAAAGGAGTGCCGCCAGCCTTGAGTCTTAGTGGGACGCATTGTGTTTTTAAAGAGATCTGTAAAGAAAAACTATATCAGTATTCATCGATTTAAATAAAAAAATTACACCGAAAACAGTTGTGTTAGATGAATCTAAAATCGATGTTTGGTTAAAATAATAGAGAATCGATTATAAAGAATTTCTCTTCGAGTTTTTTTTTATAGGATAGGGTGACAAACGAGCACACAGTCCACCTGGTGGTAAGTGGATGCTGTGGCCCATAGACATTTATCCTCGACTAAGAATCGAAACGCAGATGCGTTGTCACCTGTGAGGACTAAGATGGAATGCCTCGTTTCCAGTAAAAAGGGTCTCCGGTTCACTACACTCACCATACGAAACACAGCAGTATCAAGCTGCTATTTTACGCAGTTGTTATGTGAGATTGTGGTCCTTCCCCGGTCAGGCCGACGTATTCGTGCTACAACTATACTACTAAAATATCTGCAGCATGACTCTACCACGTATAAAGTATGCGAAAAGTTCACTAATGTACAAATATCAAAACCTTTTAAGTATTAAGTATACTATAGCCACGAAGCTGAGCTCTTCCATATCTAAAATAATAAAAGACATTGTTAAATATGGCCAATGAATCAACATGCATGAAACCTTTACAATAATTATTAGTTTTTTTATATTGATTAAAACTAATTTTACGGATTTTATCGCGTTTTATTTATATTAATTTTAATACCCGACGTTTCGGGTGCTTTCCAGCACCCATGGTCACGGGGGACTGAGGTGTATATAAATATATAAATCCGTAAAAGTAGTTTTAATCAATGTATAGTGTTCGCGTAAATATAAGAAATCATTAGTTTTTTTATAATTTACATTACAATTATTGCAATAAAACGGACACTTCATAATTTCAAAAACATTTAAAAAAGTAATTCACTTCAGTCTCATTCCCCGGTGTTATTATTGTTTGGTGTAAATTGAGGTTTTTAAGTGACAAAGGTATTGTAGATCATACCATAGAATACTATAATACACAATAGAATGGCTGTCAACCTTATTTTGTAAGAGGATCGGCGTCGCCGGGTGCACATATACAAGCAATTATGTCGTATAATCACTATTACAAACCCAATTCGCTGTGTTGACAGAGTAAATTTACACATTTTAGACTTTCGATTAATGTTTAAGATCATCATTTTAAAAAATACGTCTAAATTTTAATACGTATTTATTTGTAAAAAGTGTGCAATTTGGCATTTTTTAAATAATTTGCATGCAGCGACGCTTGATACGAAAAATGGAAACGATTGTAACGTCAAAAGAGATGTGTTGACATTTATAGGTGTGAATTGACATGTAAGTGGCCACACGGGATCCGCTCACTCACCCGTTCTATTATGTATGTATTATAGTATTCTATGAGATCATACAGCCAAATCTATGTGACAGCGCACTTAATAAGAGTTTGATACAGACAAAAGATACAAAACTCAGTTTTCTCAGAGTTTGATCTATGAATAAAGTTTTTAGTTACAAAAAGAACGAGCAACATCGACACTGACGGTCGATGAATTGACAGATGACAATATTTAACATTTGATAGTAATGCCACTCGCACGGCTCACGCATCCTGTGTAATTCGTTTGCATTTTCTTAGTATTCTTTTTGTTTTTAGTTTAACGAATTCTTACATAAAGACTTGACTGTACGAGCTATACAATACCATCGCCTATTAAAAACCTCAAATGAAATCAAAAAATAATAACACCGGGAAATAAGACGAAAGTGAATTACTTTTTAAAATGTTTTCGAAATTATGAAGTGTCCGATCTATTGAAATAATTGTAATGTAAATTATAACAGATACGAGTAATTATTGTAAAGCTTTCATGCGTGTTGATTCATAGGCCATTTTTACAGTGTGTTTCTATTGACCACTATTGACCTAATTATAACCACAAAATCTGAAAGTGTATTGACTTTTTTAGAATTTACAGAAGTGTCCGTAGTTTGAATTTAGTTTCCATCGAATATATACATTGTTTATAACACAAAAAGTGAATTCACCTCCCTGTTGGTTTTTTGGCCAACAATGTATGGACGCCGAACAATGTCTTTTAATTTTTGATATTACAAGAAAATGTACGTGCAGGCTACTATTTATGAACTCCATAACACTATTGCGAACTTAAATAAGAACTTAAATGTTGTTAGTGAATGGTCGAGGCGCTTTGGTCTCTGTCAACGCAAAAATGTCAAGCAATACTTGTGGGTAGTTCCAGAATGTTGTATACGACAAGTCTATCAAATTTGCCTTCGGTCATTTACAATGACATCTTGATACTCTTCTCAGTTCCGTAAAAAATCTAGGCCTGTACATGGACAGCACATTTAAATAGCACACACATGTAAATGCAATCAGTCGCAAAGTCTTTGTCACCTTGCGGTCTCTCTATCGTCTAAAGAATTTTCTTCCTGTAAACACAAATATGCTTGTGCAGACACTTGTTTTGCCTATCATTGATTACGCAGATGTTTGTTACCCAGATTTGGACCAACATCTTCTCAACAAGCTAGAGCGTCTCCTTTATAATTACATTAGATATATATACGGGCACGGAAGTATGATAATGTTTCGCTTTATCGTAATCGTCTAAAATGGCTCACAGTCAAACAGTGGCGTAACTCTAGAATTCTGCTTGTTCTCTTTTGTATATTAAACAACCCAGCTTCTCGTTTATATCTTAAGAAATAATTTCAATTTCTTTTTTCAACTCATGACAGAGATTTACGGTCTTCATCTAATCATAAAATTAATGTTCCAACTCATTTCACTGGATTCTGCAGGAAATCCTTTACTGTTCAGGCTACTCTACTGTGACATCCCTTACCCGAAGACATACGAAAAGCTCCAAGCAAATGCTTGTTCAAGAAATTAATCCGTGAAAACCTTTTGAAATAATATACACACGAAATTCATCTTACGTGAGTTGTATATGGTATATATATATATATATATATATATATTTGCTTTCATATTTATGTAGTTTGAATTGACATATATAAATATTTTTTATCGGCCATTGTTACCTTAGTTGTAAGGTGTTACAATAGAAAATAAATAAATAAATAAGAACTTTCTAAAACATAAGAAGATTAGAAGAGAAGAATATAGTGGAAAATCTTACTTTTGGTTATAAAAACGCACCTGTGATGAGGCTTCGTTACTTGTCGATGAGCGACAACCGTAGAGCTTCGTCTAAAGCTCTCTGTTCGTCCCGCAGCTGTCGGTCGAGGTCCGCCTGCTCCCGCGCAGACAATGCCAGCGCCGCCCGCAGCTCCGCCTCCGCTTCCTCGTCCGCGCCCGCTGCCGCATCCGCTTCCGCTCCACTCAGCAGCTCCGCCTCCGCCACGGGATTGGACAACGATAGCGACGCCTCTATCGCTCTGGCGGAACACTCACTAATATACTAGCTGATACCAAATCTACACTATAAGGATATATCATTTATATAGGACAACAGCAATGCACATATCATTACATTTTTATTGAAAGTAGGCTTAATCTAGAGATTAATATATATATATATATATATATATATATATATATATCCTTATAGCCGACACAATATTACAAAATACTATAAAAATTAGAACAGAGCAAAGTTACAATAGCTTATAAAGAAATTTGTCGCAAAAATAATACCTAAAGATAATAACTAAAACAATAAAGACCTGAATATAACCAAACAGCAGCTGTTAAGAGAAATGGATATTAAATTAGACATTAGTAATAGTGATATATTACATTTTTCCTATATTAGGGAAAAGTATCATCGAAAATATCGACAATAGGCAACGCACCAGAGTGAATTATAGGTGTCACACATTCGCGATACCGGGGCGTAAGGCCCCAAGTTAGTCTTAGATTGAGGAGTGTATAACAGTTTTGCTTTGGAAATTTTTGAAATGGTCAAGCCATAAAATATTTGATAATAGCGACACACCACGATTTTACCCGGATAGGATCTAATGTGGCGTAACTTAGCTTTAAGATAATAATCATCAAAGATCATTTATTTTATCAATTTGATTTCTCAAAAAAGTATTTCCAAGTTATTGGGATAAAATATTATGTCTGTTACATTTTATTAAGTTAATATCTTACCCTTATGAACGGGATATGGAATATCACAAACTCAATGACGTCTAAATAGTTCCATTAAAAACTTAATCTCCAATTTTATTATCCTTAAGAGTGAATTTTTTCTCCAACGCTATATGAGACTAGTCCGGTAGTGTAACCTATTTAATAAAATAGAATCATCAAAATCAGTTCACAATTGCCGAAGATATCGCGCACCATACATACAAAAGGAAAACATACATTTAAATTGTTCTCTCCTTTTTTTTTGAAGTCGCTGTATACAATTAAATACTATTACTTATTTTAAAAACACTAAAGAGACAATAAATGTTACATTAAAACACAGAAATAGTAATAATAAGACAATAGAAATGAATTAGCGCCCGATTACTTCCAAAATAGATGTCGCCACCTGCATTGGTATTATAAACATACGTAATGCACATTGATATCTAATGTTTCACATTACATTGCTTGGCGAGTTTGTCAACGTCGCGTGCATCGCGTATTACGGTAGAAAAAAAGCAGCAATGGTAATTGTCAATACAAAAAGTAATAAATGAAAGTTTACAAAGGTAAATATCATAGTAAAGTATTCATCGAGATGTAAATTAGTTAACACAATAATAATTAGTAGATAATCAACTTACCTATAACATTTTACGCCTTTATTAGTTGAATTACAAGTCCTTGATGAGTTTTTACTACTTTCTTTTACTATTATGCTGCAGTTCGCCATTATAATAACATAAATTCACGTACGGCGTTCCCCGCGCAACTAAATCACAAAATAGTGAATTATGTTCGTCACCACATCATAGCGGCGACAAGGTCACGCGTCTATACGACTTCTATTGTCTTATTAGATTTCTGTGCATTCAAAGCTACATCACTTTTAAAATTCTTCTTAGAACAATAATACATTCTAATATTTAAAAAGAAACTATCAACAGTCGCTAAGTGATTTCGTCAAAACAACGTTTACGTGGACAGATAAAAAAGACTGCATAATGAGTGATATGGAGTGAAAATACAATACATAACATTAAATATAATCATTATCACGTCAATCATTTTATTTAATGTCATTATACACGCAAAATACATAAAATCTAAATTACGAAGCCGGCTAAATACTAGGAACGTAAAAAGTGCATATAAAGCCATAGCGAAGCGATACGGGTTTTGAAAAAAAACATCCTTGCTAAAATCGCCGTTTCCTGAAAAATAATAAATAATTGCTAACAGATACAAAATAATGAGTTAAGTCTACTGTACTTCTACCTGATAAATACAAACGTTTAATTAAAAAAAATGTGAAAAATAACTAATTCAAGTTAGTGCTAATAATGTTAATAAATCAATCATCATTATATCACAAATCACAAAATTTCATTAAAATGGGTCCAGTCGTTTAGGATGAGTTCACATACACAGGGAAAGATTTTTGTATGTAGTGTTTGTGAAACGCTACCGTAAACGAAGATAGACGATACTAACGACACCTTTGATGATGGATCAGAAAAAAATCGATCCCCATGAAAAAAATATCATCTTTTCACATTTTATTAGCTTTATTCAGGCTCCATCATGTTAGTACAGCTAAATAAAATGATAATGTCATTAAAAAAATCATGAAAATACTTAAACATAAAACCAGCAGTGGGACTTAAAATAAAATCAGCTAACAATGGGGTCAATATTCACGCGGACGCCGAATTCGCGCGGCGCGCTGCTAGCGATCTAACCAATACCTAATAATTTACAACACTTGTCTAAATACCTAACTTATCTACTTAACCTACCATTTTGACACTGTGTTTGTTTTCACCTAGCCACTTTAATTCAAATTCACAGGTTAAACAAACCAAATACCTAGTTGAATTCCCCGTTTTACCTAAATGAAATTTTAACAAGGATAGAGACATGCTTTTATATCAATCGTGTAGGCATGTTTATTACTGTGATGTATTCAGTTATAGGTACATAATAAAATTCAGATCAGTTCAGCACTAAGTTATTTAAAAAAGGTACGAAACAGTTTACCGATTTAAATCTTCCGTGGCGTTATGAGATGCAGCTCAAATTGTGCCTCATTCAATTCGAGGCAGATTTGGGCTCATCGTTACGTCTCCTCATGCAAGTGGGGCATCATCGTGGGGTCTTCGACACAGTCCGCACGTAGTTTATCGAAAACATCTACGATCCTTTTGCGCATTTTGTCAGCATTATCACATTCACAATTAAAAAACTCTTTCTTTCGCATACCCCCACAGAAAGAAGTCTAACGGGGTCAGATCTGGTGAGCGAAGTGGCCAAGCGTGTGGTCCTAGTCTGCCGAATCGAGCGATCATCAAATAGCTCGGCGAGGCGCTCACGGACGAACCTCACATGTGGAGGTGCACCATCATGCTGGAACCATGTGGGACGATATTCAGCCAACGATAGTTCGTCTAAAATGTCAACCAACTGTTCATTTAAGAAGTTTAGGTATCGCTGTCCATTAAGTCACTGTGGCAGAAACACTGGTCCTAGTATAAGATCCTTAAATAAACCTGCCTATATGTTAACCGACCATCGGGTTTGGTGCCCTATTTGTCGAATAGCGTGCGGGTTAGCCTCGCAATACACGTGTGTATTTCTTTGGTTCCACAGGCCGTTTCTGTTAAGTGTCAGCTCGTCCGTTCAGATGACATGCTCAATGAAACCAGGCACACGTTGTTGCTGGTCTAATAACCAATGGCAGAAAACTCATCGGCGGCCGTGATGGCCGGGAACGAGCTTGCACTTTGTATGAGCGCATTCGATTACGCTTTAACACTTTGTGAACTGTCCAGTATGACACACCCATTCCATCCAGACTCCTTAACAATTTAGCGATACTTCGTGTACTTAGGTTCGGATTTTCGGATCGTTTAAGTATTTTCATGATTTTTTATGAAATTATCGTTTCATTTAGCAGTACTAACATGATGGACCGTGAATAAAGCTAATAAAACGTTGTGAAAAGATTTTTTTTTCATCAGGATCGATTTTTTTCTGACCCATCTTCAAAGGTATCGTTAGTACTTTGGTTTGTCTTCGTTTTCGGAAGTGTTTCACAAACACCCGGTATATAAAGATTGTTACGAAAATCAGTTGTGTGTTACATCACGTTGCAGGAAAATGTTTCCGAGATAAAGATCAATGGCCTCTGTTAAATAATGAAATGTAATCGCTCTAATAGAGACTGCGCTGACGGCTGCGGGCTCGGATTACGCACAGAATAAATACTTGTATATAATATAAGCAGTCGTGCTGTGTCTTTGTGCAATTTACACCACTGGATATTTGTGAAAATTATGTTTGTTAACTGCCCCCAAGAAAATCCTAGTGTAAGGTTTTTTTTTAATTATATTATATATACCTCTGCAGCTGTCGTTCTTCAGCAGCCAGCAGCCCGTGGTGCGGAGGGGGTTCCGCGGGGGACACGGGGGACGCAGGGCTCGCGGGGGACACGGGACGCGCCCCGCGCAGCGCTTCCCACACGTCCACCTATACAAGCACAGTAAGAACAGTAGCAATAAGTAAAGTTAGAAACTATAGACGTACTAAGCAGTGGGGTAGTGAATTCTCCACATCACTAGGTATGTAGTGGGTTTAAGATAATCCACCCTGTAAGTGCGTAAGAGGCGACTGAGCGAAACTAAAACAAAGCGATAGGTAGCAGGATCTTTCTGATAACAGCTGATTAAAAATAAAAAACTGCGATTGTCAATCAGTTTGCCAAGCATGGCAACTATAATTAGTGTTCCCCCTCTGAAGCTATCTATGGGCGATACCTTTGTTCGGCAGTGAACTTTTTATTAGCTGTAATGGTAACCTTAAACGACATCTCGATATAGAAATAGGAGAAAAAAGAAAATCTTACTATAGGTTAACGCTTTGTTTCTTTTGTTGAATATATTTTGTACGTAATTGAGTCACGTTTTGCAGCAATATTATGGTTGTAGCACGAATGGGTCGGCTCGAAGGGGGTTAGACCACGCTCTCACAGAACCAGCATAAAATAGTAACTTGATGCTGCTGTATTCCGTACGATGAGTGTAGAGAACCCGACACCTTCTTGACAGGTAATAAGGCAATTCAATCTTCATCCTTAGGATAAATAACGAATCGAGGATAGATGAAGATGCCCACAGGTCACGGCACTTACTATCACTGGGATTGTGTGTCCGTTTGTCACTCTTATTCTACAAAAAATATTGGGAAATGGCTGTGTTGTAGATACGGCCATGTATTTATATTTAAAAAAGAATATTAACAATGCTATAAACATTACTAATATTTATATAATGTATAGTGTTGTATTTGTTCTACCTGAATACGTGTACGTAGGTAACGAATTGACCACAAAATGGCGGCGCTCCCCCCCCTCAGGTTACGTCACAGTTCTTACTCAACGTTCCTAATTCATTGATCCTTTATTTATCGAGTGATGTTATTAAATTTTGGATGTAAATGATAGATATGCAGCCGCAACACCAAACTCGAGCCGGACGCCAGCTGCCGGTAGCCGCGGCCCAGCTCGAGGCACCGAGCAGTACATGGAGCAGCTGACCTGGTCATCGTGCGTGCCGGCCTCCATGAGGCTCTGCTGTATGGCGTACTGCAGCAGCGCGTCCTCGTCGTCCGTGCCGCTGGACTCCCGCAGGCCGGGCGCCAGCTGCCGGTAGCCGCGGCCCAGCTCGAAGCACGCGTCGTCAACCACGCACGTCAGGCGCGCGCCCTCGCGAATGCACTCCACGTGCGGCACTGCCACCTCCGTCGCGAAAATGTTGCCGAACGTGATCCGTGCGTTCACCACGTGGAACAACGGGATCTCTGCGCGTGAAAAAACTTGCAATATCGCGACGTGTCACGTTGCGTACAAAAACGGACGTGTTCATTTTGTAAGATCCGTATAAAACACGTGATACTATTGTATGTGAATGGTAAGGCGGTATGCTGGCGTGCCAGTTACTAAGTAGTTTAAAAAACAAAAGTAGTATGAAAACATAAGTGATAATTATTCTGTAAATACTAAAAATAGACGCAAGCTAGCACTCCCCGTGGGAGATGCGATAAAATACGCAAAGAGATGTGCAGTGAGTCATGCCGATCGGAAAGATCTCGGTCACCGGCGATTCGAATGACTCTGCGTTGGATGCAATCAAATGAAAGGAGCTGGTACTGGGGAGCCCCAGCCCAGAGTTGGGAACAGTATTCCATGTGCAGTCGAACCTGCGACGCAACAAGGGAAGTGCCTTGAAACTGAGGAGATACGACGAAGTTGTTCTTTTAGCGCTAAACGCGCAAATTTGTGTCTTTTGATAATTGAACTAGACTAAATTTTGTCGCCCCCCCGTCCGAGATTTCGTTCAACAAAGTTTCGACTTCAGACACAAATTTGTCCCTGTACTTGGCGACGTTTTCCCGAGAAATATTGGCACGGCTGGTGTATAAAGCATCACCAGTGCTTTCGTCTGCATAATAATGAATGTTACCGGTTTGCTATGCAGAAGAAACAGCGTTGGTGATATCGCGCAGCCTTGTGGAACACCAGCGTTAATGGGCTTGTAATTGGAGTATGCACCGTCCGGTGATCCAACTGCAGAATTTCTCGGGAAATCCATAGAACGAAAGCTTCGTAAGAAGCGCTTTGTGCCAAACCCGATCGACCCTTGGACTCTACTGCCTTCGCCCATCTATGAGTCAGGTAGACCAGAAGATCACCAGCTGAGCGACTCCGACAGAAACCGAAATGGCGGTCACTGATCCTCAAGGTGCCTCATGAGCTGGAAGTTTATAATGGATTTCATTATTTTGGAGAACAAGGAGGTGATAGCGATAGACCTATAGTTAGACGGATCTGAGCGGTTGCCTTTTTTAGGGATCGGGTGCACTAAAGCTGTCTTCCATGATTTCGAAACTACGTCTAGGGAGTACCGGAAAAGACGCGTTAAACCGGTGCCAATTCCGGAGCACACATCTTCAGCACAATAGGAGGGATGCCATCAGGCCCACTCGACTTGTTGCCGTTCAGGGAGAGAAGTGCTCTGCAGACCGAGCGCTGGGTAAACAGCACATCAGGCATGGAGCACTCACACCGCGGGATGGTCGGCGGTGTGTTCCCCCCGTCATCAAGAGTCAAGTTGGATGCAAAGAAAGAGCGCAGCAGATCGGCTTTGTCCCTTGCGGGCCAGTGAGTCTGTGCAGAGATGGGAGACATGGCTGACAGAAGTTCCCTTGGACAGCTTTGTCGAAAGAACAGAATTCACGTGTTTCCGAAGTCAAACTAGTTTCTCACCAATTCTGCCGATGTGCTTTGTGCTTTGTCTTTGCCATGGCAATGGCATGACACATTTGAAGGACCTAGATCGGAATTATACTTTATTTTAAGAGCGCTGGTATTTGCATCCCGAGACGTCGTTGCGTGAGCCCAGGCCTGGTAGCAAGCACTCTTGCTGATGACGTAATACAATTTTGCAGGAGCGACCAAACCATTGCTGGGTTCTGCCTCCAATAGGTACCACAGATAATGGAATAAAAAGTTCCATTCCCTGAAGCACCACATCAACGACAGAATCAGCAACAACGCCGGGATCATCCGGCGGCCAAGGGTAGGATGCAAAAGGAAATCAACGGCAACCTGCAGAACGCAACCGCGATGGGAGCGTGAGTGGCACCGTACTCCGGATTTAAGAGGGGCATCAACGGAGACCTGATATCCATCCGGTTGAGAGGTCAGCAGAAGTTCCAACAGGGAATGTACATGATCTTCCATATCTGGGATTCGCGTATGCGAGGTAACCAGTTGTGTTAGACCATATTTCAAAGCAAAGTCATAAACAGATCTACCCGCATGATCGGTTAAACGGGAACCAAGCAATTCAGCGTGGTGGGCGTTAAGATTACCATGCAACACCATCTCTGCGGATGGGACCTGTTGTAGCTTCGAGTCTGCAGCCATTTTAACTTGGTCGATGAGTCGGTCTGTGTCGGCATTACCGCTATGACGCGGGGATGGTCGTTGTTCTACGCTACGTCTACGCGTAGTCATTGGATGGACAGGTCCGTACCTGCAAGGCTGCCGAGGCATCGAAAGCAGATGTCCTCTCTGACGTACAAGCAAACTCCAGCCCGGGGCACAAGGGTGTGTTCTAATTTGTACCCCGGGTGGGAGAGATACGAAGTATCAGCCGTAGAGGACAGCCGTTTCCAGATGGTAGTGGACGGCGTTAAGGTTTGAATGAAGTCCCCTGATGTTGCAGAAACTCACGGATAGCGTGGCAGGGGTGCCTTTGTGTTATTGCTCCATTTTAGTGAGTTTTTAAATATGGTAATTTTATAAATTTTGATATGCTCTTTTCAAATTTCTACTTTGCCACTTCGTATCTTTTTCCTTCGCCCTGAATTACCGTATTAGAAAAATGGCGCCTAAAAATAGGTTTTTGACACTTTTCAGATCTATTTCATGATAAAGACTAGAGAAAATATCCTATAATTTATACACTAAGTCTTCTTTTGTAGAATCAATAGTTTTAACATTGAAGTAATATGTACTTACGTACTAGAACAGCTATTTCAAACAAAAAATGTGCGCTACTCTGTGTTCGCGCGGTTTGTTTTCTTATCATAGAATAAACATAGGTAGAATAATCAGTAGGTAATAAAAGATTGTACTGTTAAATAGGTAAATTATATCGAGAACAATTTTTTAAATTTTGTCATTTATTTTGTATATTATATTTGCTTATTTAATATACTATTATATCACAATTACATTTTAATGATATTTTTATCTCAATATTTTAAAAGGTATCTATCTCAAATATAAAAAAAACATACTAAATGTATGTTTAACAAAACTTGTTAATATAACATTTAAATTACAAATATATTTATTTAAATTAGAATAAGAGCCGTTCATAAATACTGGGCACGCGAGAGTTAAAAATTGACGAATTTATTCCACTTTGACTTTGATGTGGAAACCTAAAAATAAAATATAAGAATAATTAGCAGATTTAAATATAAAAAATTTGGCCTAATTATGATTACTCATATACGTTTCTACAAAAAAAATGTGTATAATAATATATTCGTCCTATATTTAAGTACCCACAGAAATTTCGCATCTGAACAAATTAATTTCATAATCTATATTATGTGACACAAGATGGCGTCTTAGGAATAATTTGTTTTATTACTAATTTATAATACTTTTTTTATTGAATTAAGTATCTTATTAACCAATGAAAAGTAATTCCTTGGTTTTTACTGACATTTCTTGAATTATTTGTGCAATATCTAAGTACGCACGACGGCATTTTTTTATCAAGAGACTTTTTTTTTAAATCAACACAACACGTGTCAACTCTACAAGCGCCTAGCGAGTGACTGATTAAAGTGCAGTGTATGCACCGCAGTTGAATGGAACATAGTAGCTGAATGCAGTGTCGCCTCTAGTACGTAGTACATATTAGCTCAATGTAGTTTTAGAACATAAGCGCCGCAAATCTACGTCAACATGCATTTTCGCCAAAAAAAAAAAAACTAATTTCCACACCACCATGAGGTATTCCCTGTACGACTAATCCACATGCAATGCACTATACTTCAAACAAACATGATCCAGGAAAACGATTAAAGTTTCAAGTATATCCGACTCAACCGTTTGAAAGAATTGTCTGATGGATGATTGTCTCGTAGACGCAGGAGCGAATATCCTCTATAACTTTCACTGCTGCTGTCTTTACAATACACGGACGTTCTTCTGTCCTGTTGTTCCTTTTTTGTTTGTGCCAGGCTTCCGTCAGCTTATAACTTACTATTATCATCATAACTTAAGCCTTGTTTCAGAAAAAAATCACAATTGACAGTGACGGCAATTAAAATATCATCAACATATCATTTCAGGAGTTGAGCTTTCACTGTTTTTATGTGTCACCCTCAACTTTGGTCACCAGTTCGTCCAGAAAAAACTGACTAATCCGAATTCTCCTCGAGATAAGTATAAATATACTGCATCGCAGCGCCAAGACTAAGAATAAGAAGGCGCGGAAGACATGCGGGCATGCGGGGTGCACCCTCCCCGGCTTCTCAGTTCATACCCCGATTACCATGTCGACCTGTCGCATAGTATACTCTAACTTCATGGTGATGTGGAAATTGGTTTTTTTGGCCAAAACGCAGTTGAAGTAGACTTTGCGGCCCTCATACGTTAAAACTAAATTTTTTCCTTGTTTAATTTATTGCATGAATGTATTTATCGTAAAATGAGCCGGAAAGGAGATATTGTCAAAAAACTGTTTAAGGTAAATGACTACTAAATGACTGTACTACTGGCTTTCTTACTTTCTTCTCAAGACAGAGATATTTTTGAAACCATTGGTGAAAGAAACCTAAGAATTACTTACAATAAGCATTATTTATTTATTTATGAAAAATCAAATAGTATTACATAATATGTAATATCAACAAAAAAAAAGAGTGCAAAAAGTAATAGACGCAAAAGAGAAAGAACAATATGGATAATTTTATCTGATTGTATTATTTGACGGATACGGGTAGAAAAAAATATTTTAATAGTTGAAACGAGAGAAGATTTACAAGGTTACAATAATCACCTCCGATTACAAAGATACAATGCCGCCCACCCCCCACTTCCCCAAAGTGGGAAAACCAAACAACTTGAGATCTGATATGTACACAGGCTACGAGCAGAATCTCAGTACATTTAAAAACACATGCCAGTAGCTTGTTTTGAACACTATTTGGCATGCTATTGTGCGAGTAACAAGCACGTATCTGTCAATCGTCTTTGGACGTTTGTACTCTGTATCACGAACTTTAAACGCATGCACTATCCAGGATCTTACAAAATCAACTGTATCATTTCCGCTTGTTCTAGTAGCTATCAAAAAGGTACATACTTCTGCGTCTATAACTGGATGTTTATCTCAAATATTTAAAAGAAAATCTTTGATACACACCAAAAGCGGAAATATGTCCTCTGTATATTATTAAAAAGGCAAACTTATTGAAGCTGTCAATGTTCTAACCTACTTAAAAATTATTTAATAATCTAATGCATGCCTCCTTGTGAATAATGGTGCATAGCTAGATCGTATTTGGATGTCTGTATGCGAACTTAATATATGCCTATAAAAATTAAAAAAAAAGAATATTATAATATTTATATATATTATTATAGCCAGTGTTTTTGGGACGAAACCACGAGGATGAGGCCCATATGATAATTTTAGTTTTGTTTTTATCATAGTTTTTTTTTATATTGTACGTATTGTATCAGTATTTCCAATTAAGTGTTACGTAAATAAATGCATCAAAACTAAAAAAATATGTATAATAAATGCAATATTCTTTTGCCTACTAAGAAGCAAAAAGAAGGGTGATGTATTTTACGTGTTTAATTACGAGGTAGGGTTCTTTACCTCCCACGGACCGAACAACTGAAATGGACATAAATCTTGAATCAAATGTTAAAATAGATTAAATTCTTACAATATTAATGTATTTTTATAGTTACAACAACGAAATTCTTAAAACTTTGAGTAATACTTTGGAAAATATGGCTGAAGCACTTTGTTTAAGTTCCACCATCAATATTGATATATCTTATATCACTAACACACGCAGACATACTTTTAATAAACATATTCTTGTATTATTTACCAAATGTACAAAATGTATCTCTACCAAAGAGGAGAGTTTCTCAGATGAAGAATTAAGTTATCATGTTATTAATTTCTTGGGCTAATATATTATAATAAATGGTATGTGAGTTATAGGTATATAAAATTCACAAAAAATAACAAAAACAAATAATAGAATCAGGCGTTACTTTCCGGAAATCCATTATACTAAACATATTAAAAGTTACTTTGCTAGAGTGATGGTGTTGGGAGTAGTGGTGCTGGGATTAGTGGTAACGGGATTAGTGCACGCAATTGAGGGAGGGCAGGAGATGCTCTTCAAACTAGGTGAGACACATAATTTTATTTTATTGAGCGGATGCTTGCAAAGTAACTTTTAATATTTTTAAAAACAGATAAACTACTTCAACACTTCTAACAATATGATTTCAAACAAAGAAATAGGTAATGAATAAATCTAAAAATTTGTAACAATATGGTGTGAAATTAAATGAAATATTGATCTATAATTCCATATTCAATTAAACCATCCATTTTTCATTTCCATTTTCTTTAAAATTATTCAATAAAAAAAATTTAAGTATAATTTACTCCACAAAGGTTTTCTTACATTTTATTGCAAATTATGAAATTTGTTATTTTTTAAAACTTACCAATTTTCACTGGGAATCCTGCCGGAAGTTGCATCTGGATGAAATCCTTGAGTTTTGCAAAATGTGGTGACGAAATAGCTGTCATTAGGTCGAGGATCGGCATTATCTGTTCCTGGAGCTGGAATAATTGCGTGTTTTTTTATAAAATCTACATCATATCCAAAACCCATTAGCAGTGGCGTACCCGAGGTCAGAGAATAGAGCAAGCCAAACAGTTTTATGTCCTATGGAGAGACGGCATAAATCAACCACTCTATGTCGATCCAAGAGTGTCGTCAATAGAGAAGTTGCATAAATTTTTTTTTTGTCACAAAGAAGACTGTCCATTTTAGGCCCAATATTATAAATGACTGTAAAAAAGCGAAAAATTCAGTGATTTTATTAAAAATAAAATAAGAGAATAAATCAAACTAAATAACTTGCTAAAAATAAAAATGCAATCCCAAGTTTTTGATAGTTTAACGAGATGGCGCCCTTTCAGTCAAAAAAAGTCGCGGTTATTTGTCAAATGTCATTTCTAACAAGTGACTTGAGTCATGAAATAATGTAGGTAGCGTGATATTTTATTTATTCCCAGCTTGGTAGTTGTGAACTCGTGAATACGTTAATTGTGTTTCTTTGGCGATTTAGTTTCGGTTTGGTGACAAGCATTTCAGAATTCAAATAACCACAGATCTCTAAATATAAATAGAAGTCGTAAAAGCGCGTGACCTTGTCGCCGCACATGTGACTTGTAGGCCACAAGCGTGCGAGGAGCGTTTGTTTCGGTCACCAGTATTGCTTCGGACGCAGAGACGTAAACATGGTGTTTTGAAGCATATCAAACTGCGGAAATTCCTCCACAACTTGCAAATTTTCAAATAAAGGGATAACATTTCATAAATAAGTAATTAGTGTTAATGAAATATACTTAAATAAAATTATAAACCAACAGTACTACGATTGTCTTCGAAATTGTAATTGTTTTCACATTTCAATATCCATTGATTCTTAAGCTAGTTCATGTCTACGAGTACGACGGCTAAAATCAGCGATGGATTTATAGTATGGGCGATAAACAAAATTGTTGCGTACGTAAATTTCGTAGCACACGGCCGCAGGAGTCGAATGCAAGTCAGTTACGTGACACAACTATTTTGTATCGATAATTTATTGTTTGGCGTACCTAGTTTAAACGGAACGAGAATTATATGTGATTTTCGTTAAATCTTTATTTACACCTTTCTACTTTTTTTTCCTTTTTAAATATTTTATACCGTTACGCGTTTACGTTACCTGTTTGTTTGTACTTTTAAATTACTTGATAAATTTTTAATCTGTTATATTGTAAGGATAAGTAATTATACTGTAAGGATAGTAGTCTTAATTCGATCTGTTAGAAGCCGGGAAGCTGAAAAGTAGCAAACAAAAAGTCAGTTACAGATCTTAAAAACTAATAAAAATTATAAATATATCACCCATACATATATTTATTCGTTTGCTGTTTGTATAATGTTGTATTCATTTTATTTATACATTGTTTATTTATACAATGCTTTTATTACAAGTTTCCAAAAGATCCGGTTATTAAAGATAAATGGATATATTTATTCTTAACGTATTATTATATCTCCTTTTTTCTAATTATAAAACGTCTAAAAACTAAAGCTAAGACTAAAAGCGTCTATTACTGAGAAAATTTCAGTTAATTAGTTATATCTTGATGTGTGACTACTGGAAGATCAACGACGCTTAATAGAAAGTTATCGAAACGTGCGTTGCGCTGCACTATGCCCAAGTGAGAGCGAGCGCGCAATGTCATTCTCTGTTTTTCGCACCTTTAATTATTGGACCGAGTGGCTACGCCTCCTGAGATTTTGCGTTTTTATAAAATATTCCTTAACTCAATAGTTTATAGATTAATCTTTGTTGCATGAATGCTAGAGGTATTTGTAGGCGAAATTATGTATTTATTGTTTGTATATGTGTGATAAGCTACGACCTGGCGACACGCGGCCCGATATTAAGACAGTAGAAGGCATTTCTAGTGCCTTATTATTTAGGTTTCTGTGCAAATAACCATCAATAAATGAATCAATAACCTCATGACAGTTGACAGCTAAAGTTAAAACGACATCTATCCGCCATTAGTTTTAAATTTTTTGGTGAGAATAAAATATTAATACCACTGAAATAAAGGCAAATTCGCGCAATTAAATAATCAAAAGTGGTTTAATATTTCATTTCAATTTATATCCCTACCGGTACAAAACCAGGTCTACGTTTCATACAATTTTGGACCGTCTCCTTTATATACAAAGTTATTTTGCAATAACCGGCTAAATTTGCAGAGTAGGTTTATAATAAGTAATACAAGCAAATGGTAAAGAAAAAATAATTAAAAAAACTCATTATTTCCTTTTTATCTTTTAAATTCAAAAAGCGTGATAATGCATTATTTGAACTGATTTTACTGCACATTCGCATTCGTAAGGGTCGATCGGTAGGCAAAAACGTTGTTGCGCATAAATCACATTAAATATGGGATAATATTACAAATAGTAGTATTTTCAAAAGCTGTAATAACCATATATCACTATTTACGTATTCCAACTTAAGTTGAAAATTTGGCTACTTTTGAAAATATGCCTGTATAAATGAAAGAATAATTAATTAAAAGTATATTTAATTATTTTTTATTAACAATTCAGTTTTTTATTTATCAATAAAAATTAGTTAAATTATTCAATGAAAAAAAACGGCTTCTGATTGGTTGTGACGTCAGTACATCCGTTGAGGCTGTGATCCAATCGCAATCATGGTTTACTTTTGTATTTTCTACATTCGGAACACCATTTTGTGTCATAACAAAATATACATATATAAACTGTGACAATGCAATGAAAATTTTTTTTTTAATTTTGACAACGTAAACATGAGTGCTTAATCATTTCACGGCGTTACTAAAGCGATATAATGACGTCACTGACGTTTGAATTTACATTTTAGAAAAACCATTTTTAATTGTAAAATTACATGAAAAATCAATTGTTTACTTTATTTAAAAAAATTAATACATTTTTAATATATATACGTGGTACTGTGTTTCGTATTGTGAGTGTAGAGAACCGGAGACCCTTTTTACTGGAAACGAGACATTCCATCTTAGTCCTCACGGGTGACAACGCATCTGCATTTTGATTCGTAATCGAGGATAGATGTGTTCTATGGGCCACAGCAACCACTTACCATCAGGTGGACTGCGCGTTCGTTTGTCACCCTATCCTATAAAAAAATTATGCAACTTCTCAGTCACAATAGTGACAGAGAAGAATGGGACATGGAAGAAAAATCTCACGTTCCGATGGATGGAAAAACTGACCGGCAACGGAAAGATGCGTGACCTCTGCGATCGTAAATCCACCTGCCCAGTTTGGCAACTGTGGCAAGTATCTCCATATGTGGTTATTTATGGGAAGGCCTAAGTGCAGCAGTGGACTTTGATAAGGGGTAATGAATTATGATACAATTATTACAATAAGTCGATAATTTATTATACAGAATAGCTCCGTACTGCCACTAAGAGCTTGTTTGGTCGTTCACCGGGCTGAATTCCTAACCAAACATACGCATAACACAATTTGATTTAAGGTAAGACTTAATTTGTATGTCTATCTCTGTCTACGTTTGCATAAATTTTACTTATAAAGTAAATACAGAGTTAAGTCACGAAATTTGAAAAGTTGACTTATAAAAAGTCGGGAGTCAGTAGCTAAAAAAGAACATTTTCAAACATATTAATATACAACGTTACATAACAAGAGTATATAGTAATATAATAGGCTTAAATACAAAACTAAATTAAATATATAATATTACATAATTAAATATATAATATTGTAGCAAGTAGACCAAGTAGACAGCAAAATGAGAAAATATTTAATAAATATCACTACTAACAAAACCCAGAATTAGTAATGCTTGTAAACAGGAGGAGTTAAAGGAACAAAACAGTTAAATGGCTTACTTCAAGCGGGTAGTCCTCACATAGCCACAGCGTTGCCTTGAACTTCTGCACTTTAGTAGTGATCTCTTTGGGTCGCCCGATGTCCTTCTCTAAGGGTTCATCACTGAAATATTCCGCCCATGTTACTGGTTGTAGGTCTTCACGTGATCTACTGGTCCGAGGTAGATCCTCCTGAAAGGAACAAACAATAATTTACAGCCGCTCTTTGTGTTTTGAGTGATTAAAGATGAACAACTACATTATTTACATCAAAATATTTATTAACCAGCTTGGTTGGCTGGCTTCCCTCAAAACTTGGTGAAAATTGTGAAAATCCACTTATTAACCGTGTGGTGGTGGTGTTCGAATATACACTATCCCGTATCGTCCCGTGGGTGTCGTAAGAGGCGACAGAAAAACAAATAACGGGATCAGTCGTACCGTCTTCCTTATAACAACTAAAAGTAAAATACCTCGGTTACTATCCCGTTTGCTAAGCGTGACGAATATCCCCCCCCCCTTATGAGGTAATCTATGGGGAATATCTGTGATCAGCAGTTGACTTCCAGATTAAAATGATTACTTTTTTGCGCAAAAAAAAATAGTATAAATAATTTTAATCTGAAGGTAGCTGTGTTTCACTAACACTGGGACGTCGAACACCTCAGTCCCCCCTGTGACCATGGGTGCTGTAGAGTGCTCGAAACGTCGAGAATATAAAGTTAATATACGCGATATAATTCGTAAAAAGTAGTTTCATTTAAATGTGTAGTGTGCGCGTAAACATAAGAAATCATTTCGAAGACCTGTGAAGTCCGCTAAAGCTGAACGCACATTTGTCAGCACTATACGCGCCGAACGCACCGCATTTACTGATTATCTCGCCGTAGGCAAGTCTTTTGTTCTGCCTATAACGTTTGAAATTTTTTCCAACCAGTGGTGTGAAACGGTGAAATGACATTGATCACTTTGAATCGCTCGGATCGCTATGGAAAAAAATTTGTTGTAATAGCCTGCTTAATGGCAGAGGAGGAAGTAAATTAAGTAAAAAAAAGAAGATACTGGATTTACGATATTAATTTAAAAACGCAATTGTATGGAGAATATTATACTTTTATAAAGATTTATTGGATGATGAACGATTTTTCAGATATTTGCACGTAGATTCTTAGGGGGCGAAGCAGACGTAGGTGAGTGATCGGCGCGCGGGCCCCCCGCGTATCCGGCTAGCTGCTAGCAATCACATGAGTAAATATTCCGTTTATCTACTGTGTGTAGCAATAGCGACGAGTAGGGATGGGCAAGTGAAAATTATATCGAATATCGTATCGATATTTTTAAACAGTATCGTTATATTCGTGTGATAAATATCGATATATCGTCATGTTTTGATAATGTAGTAGGACAAGGCTCAAAATGGATTACTGGAAGGTTTTTTTGACGAAAAAAAACTACAAAAGCACATGAATGTTTTTGTATCTTCATTTGTTGCTATTGCTTTGTAGATTTATACAAAATTTTAGAATATGTCGAAATTAATACGAATTCAATACTCCAAGATATATATTGAATATCGATATATCGCGATTTAAAATATCGACTTTTTAATATATATATATATATATATACCAATATTTAAGAAAATATCGATATATAATTTGCTTCAAGCCTAGCGACAAGCTGCAGATCGCACTTTCGTAAGTGTAGGATTATTTCATAACCCTCTAATAGTTGAATACATCTACGCAGTATACAAATATGTATATTGTAATTGATTAATATAACCAGCGTTAATTTATAAAATAGTTTCAGATAATAATTGGGCACCAAAAGAGCCTTCTCGTGTGGCGCTATACCTATATTACATTATAGACCAGTACAACAACAAAAAGGACTCTTACCTATGCCTATAGGTGCTTACTCGTAAGTAAACATAATCGTAAGTCGACGTGTACTTACTTTTCAACATGAAAATAAACTACTTACCTACCGAAGTATGTATCTAGTTTATTTTCATAGCTGACCTCTATATATACAAGGACGCTAGACTGGCTATACACCGTACATCATGAGGTTATTCGATTTGCGCCATTTTGGCGCTGACAGCAGTGCACGTCCACGAAACTAATAATAGGGATAACACATTGTAACAAAACATATCGATAAAAATTCTATACCCTACCTATACCTAAATAAATAGAATGGACTCTATGTATAGATGGACTCTACCCGTAAATACACGTCATTCTATTTATATATCATAATAATGTAATGCCATTATCATTCATCATCATTAAAGCCCTTCACAAGTCCACTACTGAACATAGGCCTCCCCCAAGGAATGCCACAAAGCACGGTCCTGAGTCAGCTGCATCCATCAACTTCCTGTTTGTCCTACCAGGTTTTCACTCCATCTAATGGGGGGAATTCCGGCACTTCACCTACCGGTACGAGGCTGCCACTCGAGAACCTTTTTTCCCCATCGGTTATCGGTTCTTCGAGCTATATGGCCGGTCAATTGCCATTTCAGCGTACTAATCCGTTGGTCGATGTCGGTCACTCTGATTCTACTGCTGGTATCCTCATTCCTAAGTTTATCCTCCGAAGCTTTCCAGCTTCGGAGGATAGAGTAGAATCAGTGCCACGTACGCCTAGGGGGCTTGACATATCGCAATCCCCATGGAGTTCCTTGATCGAACACTTAATATTTTTCTTAATTGCCTTTGTCGGTGGATGTTGCGCAAGAGGAAGCTGCCAAAAACCGTGAATGTAAACGATGGCCAGAATTTGTAAATAAGAAATAAACTAAAGTTGGGCCACTACGAATTTAAAGCACAAATTAAATCTTGAGACTCGAGAGAGAATTAAATCTCTAGACTCACACTTACTAAAACCCCATGGTGTTCTACCTCCGCCGCAATTTGATAGGGCCGCGGAAACGCTTTCATGCACACCCGCGGCCCCTCCGGCGCCAGGCGCCCAATGGCAGCCCTTCCTTAGTTGATAACTTCTCCCCCCGCCCCGTTTTTCTTCTCAGATAAGGCGCACCAGAAACACAAGGCACACTGCCCTTCCAACTCATCGCCATACCAATACTTCTCTTCCCTGACGACTCCACCGCGACTACAGCGGTACAGGGAGAGAAATCTCCTCTAGCCGCAGCCCACTAACACACATCTAAAGTGGATCGATATCATCAGGCGACCTTCCGACACTTGGCTATGGCCCTCGAGTTGGGGAAAAATGAGGAAAGAAGAAATAAAAAAAACATTCGAAATAATAATCCAATACTTTTATATTTCTAGTACTGGTACTACCAGAAAATATTGTCGGAAGGTCTAATAAAACAGTCGTCTGTGAAATGTTCACAACAAATATGATCATTTTGTTTCGGACGACGATTCACAATATTTATGCTTTTAAGCCATAATTTTAGTCCAGGTTCAGTTGGAAACCTGTTAATTAACAAACATTTGATAATCATCTGTTGTTGGCGGCTTTGTTTGTTAAGAGATATGGGTAGGAAAGAACATCGATATTATAGACAAGAAACTCGACAACCCTATTGAATTTTATTGTTTATCAAAACTCAGTAATATACAGCCAAACATGTTGGTATATATGATATTAAGATTAGTAACAAATTTTTAAGTATTTATATTATCAACTCGTTTTAATTTGTTTAATATTAGCTGAAAATTCACTTACTTGTGAAATGTTATACCACTTCCCTTTTAGTAACGAGTTTTATAGATTACGCACACTCTCATTATTATTAAAAATAATTCTTATTATGTAACTAATATTATACACAATCCAAGAACATAAACTACTTTCGTTTTTTAGTTTAAAAGTTCAAAATACAGAATTTTTAAATATGACAATTTAAATAAGACAACAAACTTTGGCACATTATCAATTTTCATAAATTTTAGTTTCCAAGACGACTGTTAGGGGTGCTTGAATTGGCACAGACAATTTTGTATGGTATAGCCAGTCCAGCGTACTTGTATATATAGATGTCAGTGATTTTCATTTTGAAAAGTACTTATTAATTTAATCGCACAATATTTATTTGATATTTCTATTTAAAATGATATATACTTTTTTATTGAAAAATAATCCATAACTCACTAATGTATTTACTGGTGAACACATAGACGGAATTTAATTGAATTTGCTTTAACTACATTCGAATGAAACTGCTTTTTCCCTTAATCTTAAAAAACTGAACTGACTGAAACTTTGCGATCTTTTTCTATCAATCGTGTCTTTGTGTCAAGCGTGTCTTCTGTCAATCGTGGTTTGGCCACCATAATTCACTAAGAAAAATCGTTATCTTTCATAACGAATTAAAAAAAGGTGAATTTCGTAGTTTTTAATGATAAAATATTGACTTTCTGCACATCTATAAAGCGTGAAAAATCTGCTTTTGGCGCCCACTTCACCTTAACATACAAGAAATTTCAAGAATTGCATCACATACTAAAACCATATCTATGGAAAACTTTGGAAAGATTTGTTGTATGTTGGAGGTATTTTTTATTGATAATTAAGTAATCAGATATAATTGGGTTTTAAAATTAAAATTATAATTTTTTATGGTATTTAAATAATTTATCACTAAGTATTCATATTGATGATGGGTGCAAAAAATATTTTTAATTTATGTATAATTAATTATGCTTTATGCTTTTCAGGAGAGGGGCGGGGCGAAATTCCGCTCGCAATTAAAACTGCTCGGGGCAAGCGGAGCAATAAGACCAAGACGACTCCTGTCACGCTATCCGTGAATTTTTGAAACATCATGCGACTTCAATATAACCTTAACGCTGTCCACTACCACCTGGAGATGGCGAAGCCGGCGTTGCTCTTTTTATCCGAGACTCAGGTGTCCTCTCCAGCGAATACTTCACATCTCTCCTACCCGGGGTACAAATTAGAACACTCCTTTGTGCCCCGGGCTGAAGTCTGCATATACGTAGAGAGGACTTCTGTTTTCGACGTCTCGGCAGTCTTGAAGGTAACGGACCTGTCCCTCCTATGGCTGCGCCAGACCTACTCATCGACCACGTCCAAATGGCTACCAATTCCTTGCTATGGCTACTATTTCCTGTATGGCTGTTGATATCATCCGCAGAGATCGTGATCCTTGGCGATTTTAACGCCCACCACGCTGAATGGCTCGGTTCACGTTTAACCGATCATGCGGGGAGATCCGTTTATAACTTTCCATTGCCATAAGGTCTTACACAGCTGGTTACTTCGCCTACGCGGATTCCAGATGTGGAGGACCCTGTACCTTTCTAGTTGGACTTCTGCTGACTTCTTATCTCCCGGTTTCCATCGACACCTCTCTTCGCTAGTCGGACAACTGTCTTGTCCGGAGTGTGGTGTCACTCACACTAACGTCGCGGTTGCATTCTGCAGGCTGCCGCCATGTTTGGCACTATAGGTCGGCCGATAGGAATAGGGTGCGGTCTTTTATTGCATCCTACCGCTGCTTCTCGCCGGACGATCCCAGCGTTGATGCAAAATTTGTCAATCATGTGGTACTTCAGGGTATGGAACTTTTTATGCCATACTTTGTGGTGCCCATCGGAGTAAGATCACAACCATGGTTTGGTCGCTCTTGTAAAATAGCAAGTAGCAACACGCTATAAGCAGCAGTGACTGGGCTGACGCATCAACGTCTTGGGATGTAAACCCCAGCACTCTGAAAAAGAAGTATAATTCCGCCTTCAGGTCCTTCAAAAGAGTCATTGCGAAGGCAAGGTCTGAGCAAATAAGCAGAATTGGCGAGAAGCTAGTTCGCCTTCCTTCGGGGACTCGTGCATTCTGGTCTCTCGTCAAGGCTGTTCTAGAGAATTTCTGTCAGCCGTCTCTCCCATCTCTGCACAGAGAGGACGACTCACTGGCCCATGCTGCAATAGAGAAAACTTAACTGTTAGGCTCTCTCTTTGCGTCCAACTCGACTCTCGATGACGGGGGAATACATCGCCGACCATTCCACAGTGTGAGTGCTCCGTGCCGTATCTGCGGTTTACACACCGCTCAGTTCGCAAAGCACTCTTCTCTCTGGACGTCAGCAAGTCGAGTGGGCCTGATAGGAGTCCCTCCCATTGTGCTGAAGACGTGTGCTCCGGAGTTGGCATCGGTTTTAACTAACAGTTTAAATAATGGTTTGAAGTAAAATATGATACGTAAAAGTGATGCGCTTTTGTTTATTGCCTCCGCATGTGAACTATATGAGAAAGCGACGAAACAAGTGATTCGATGTTGATATAAACCTCAAGTTATTTTGATCGCTTAAGCGTCTTATGAACTCGAGTGACTGTGGTCATCGACTGTCCGCTGGGTTCCGCTTTCGTCAAAATCTCCCAAAAAATTCATAATATGATACATCAGCATATTGTGAAGAAACTATCTATAAAAACGCAGGCTACGAATAAAATGAAGATTTGGCTTAAAGGACAAGCATCCAAGGCAATCTTATTATAAATATGCTCATCTATCTCTTACACCTAGTCTGACATGTGTGACTTTGGTTTGGGTGCAATCTGGTAGGGTTTTGTAAGAGCTACCTGGTCTGAGCTCGCGCGAGTTGCTTTGATCTGGCTGGCGTGTTTGGTCTGTCAACCAGCGTACGGCGTTCCGGCGAGTGGAACGGCGAGGCAAGGGAGTTGGGAGGACGGAGTGTTATCATGTCTGTCTAGTGATGGTGTTAGAACGTGGTGGCTACCTGTTCGGGCTCAACGGGCGAGGCGGGCGCGGGCTCGTCCCGGTCGGCGAGCGCCAGCAGGCCGTGCAGCGGCGCGCGAGGCGCGGCGCGCGCTCTCTCGCTCCGCGGCAGGTGCTCGCTGCGGCTCTTCGAGACCAGCTCCACGTTGTTCGCGCTGAACACCTTGCAATCGTACCCGTTCACCGTCTCTGTCTTGTCCTGACGCCAGCCCCAGATGCCGCTTTTGTTCCTGCGATCAACCAATATAAACATTGGTATTGTGAAGCCACACTGCAGCTTTATTATAGTTGTAGCACAATAGATCGGCTCGACCGTGGAAGGACTATGTTCACAGATTACCAGTGTAAAATAGCAGCTTAATGCAGTGTGTTTCCTATGATGAGTGTAGAATACCGGGGACCAATTTTATGGAAAAGAGGCGTTTCATCTCAGTCTTCAGGCATGACAACACACTGCTGCAGCGCGGGTCGGAACGGGAGGCACTGACTTCTCGAAGCCGATCGGTATCGAGGTAGTTGAGCGCGAGCGGCGCGGAGAGGCACTGCTGCAGCGCGGCACGGGGCGCGGCGGGGGCACTGACCTCTCGAAGCCGATCTTATCGGTGTCGAGGTAGTGGAGCGCGAGCGGCGCGGCGAGGCGCTGCTGCAGCGCGGGGCGCGGCGGGGGCACTGACCTCTCGAAGCCGATCTTATCGGTGTCGAGGTAGTTGAGCGCGAGCGGCGCGGCGAGGCGCTGCTGCAGCGCGGGGCGGGGGCACTGACCTCTCGAAGCCGATCCTATCGGTGTCGAGGTAGTTGAGCGCGAGCGGCGCGGCGAGGCGCTGCTGCAGCGCGGCGCGGAGCGGGGCGGGGGCACTGACCTCTCGAAGCCGATCCTATCGGTGTCGAGGTAGTTGAGCGCGAGCGGCGCGGCGAGGCGCTGCTGCCAGCGCGGCGCGGAGCGGGGCGGGGGCACTGACCTCTCGAAGCCGATCTTATCGGTGTCGAGGTAGTTGAGCGCGAGCGGCGAGGCGAGGCACTGCTCCTGCGCAGCCAGGCGCGGGGCGAGGCGGGGGCACTCACCTCTTGAAGCAGATATTATCGGTGTCGAGGTAGTTGAGCGGCGCGCCGAGGCGCTGCTGCAGCGCGTCGCGGGGCGGGGCGGGGTCACTGACTTCTCGAAGCCGATCTTATCGGTGTCGAGGTAGTTGAGCGCGAGCGGCGAGGCGAGGCACTGCTCCTGTGCGGCCAGGCGCGGGGCGAGGCGGGGGCACTCACCTCTTGAAGCCGATATTATCGGTGTCGAGGTAGTTGAGCGGCGCGCCGAGGCGCTGCTGCAGCGCGGCGCGGGGCGGGGCGGGGTCACTGACTTCTCGAAGCCGATCTTATCGGTGTCGAGGTAGTTGAGCGGCGCGCCGAGGCGCTGCTGCAGCGCGGCGCGGGGCGGGGCGGAGTCACTGACTTCTCGAAGCCGATCTTATCGGTGTCGAGGTAGTTGAGCGCTAGCGGCACGGCGAGGCACTGCTGCAGCGCGGCGCGGCGCGGGGCGGTGGCACTGACCTCTCTAAGCCGATCTTATCGGTGTCGAGGTAGTTGAGCGCGAGCGGCGCGGCGAGGCGCTGCTGCAGCGCGGCGCGGAGCGGGGCGGGGGCACTGACCTCTCGAAGCCGATCTTATCGGTGTCGAGGTAGTAGAGCGCGACCGGCGCGGCGAGGCACTGCTGCTGCGAGGCCAGGCGCGGGCCGGGGCGGGGGCACTGACCTCTCGAAGCTGATCTTGCCCGTATCGAGGTAGTTGAGTGCGAGCGGCGCGGCGAGGCGCTGCTGCTGGGCTGCCAGGCGCGGGCCGGGGCGGGGGCACTGACCTCTCGAAGCCGATCTTATCGCTGTCAAGGTAGTTGAGCGCGAGCGGCGCGGGGCGGGGCACTGACCTCTCGAAGCTGATCTTGTCAGTATCGAGGTAGTTGAGTGCGAGCGGCGCGGCGAGGCGCTGCTGCAGCGCGGCACGGGGCGGCGGCGGCCAGTCGCAGGGCACGTCCGCCTCCATGTGTTCGCTCCACGCCGTGCCCAGCTCGTGGTCCAGCTCCACCAGGCTGGCGCGCGTGCCTGCACCACAACGCACACCACTCACACTCAACACGAAATACTCTGTGACATCGAACACTTCTATGTATACCATAGATTTATCACTATATACATACCATATTATCGGCAATTCAAAAAAACTGTGTCATAGCCGAGGATCGCGCGGGCGCTGACTAGACGGGTAGCCAGCAGGACAGTAAACATGCTACGCAGTTGTATTTTCACTCACGACAGTTACTTTTTTTAGGCAAATACGAAATATATTGAAATAAACTAGTGCCCGTCATGCATAATTATCTCTCATTACAGCCTATAAAAGCTCACTGATTACAAAGACCTCTCCCACAGAATGCCTCATAGGAAGTATTTTACCGTGTAGTGGCGGTGTAAAAATATTCAATTCCCCATATCGTCCCGTGGATGTCGTACGACAAGAGCATCTTTTATAATTCAAAACAATTAAAAAATGCGGTTGCCAACCCGCCCACCAAACGTGGCAATTATGGCATATACGACAACGAATAGATATCTTTACGTGATTTTTGGTTATTTTTTTTTCTTTTGGGTTATTCATAATGTAAGTAGATAATAGAAGTACTATCGAATTAAAAGAGAAAAAGGTACCTTGTCCCCTGAATATATACGTCCGCTCTCCTCTCTGCCAGTGGGACTCGTCGAAGCCGGCGAGAGTGGTATCGACGCGTACGTTCGCGCCGCGCTTGTACACCTTGTATGTGTCGAACGGACAGATGCGTGACACCAGCGGTACTGCGAAACGTTTTATATCATAAGTCAAACGTTTTATGTCATAATTCGAACGTTATATTGTAAGTAAAACGATTTATATTATAAGTCAAAGGTTTTATATTGTTACGAGCTCAAGTCAACGGCACTAGCGCCATCTAGTCTCGAACCGAAGAACTAAACTTCTTGAAGTTTAAAACTCGAACTCTCGGTACCTTGCGCGTGTTTACTTGAACATTCTGGATATTTCTTTGCTAATTTATATAAATAGGCGCTGCAAGATGCGATCGAGGCAGTATTGGATTTGGCGAGACAAGCGAAGCTTCGGAGCGGAATAAAGTGAATTAGTGTGTTTAATTAAGTGTTTTAAGTTTTAATTTGTGTAAAGTAAATTAAAGTGTTAATTTAGGTAATTTTATTGGCAATTTTTATTGTCACGAACCTCAAACTCGTAACAATATCATAACTAGCAGCGAAACCTGAAGTTGCCCGAGTCAAAATACATTGCACACTTCATGGTTATAAAATCAGTTGTTTCTATCTTATATATGTAAACAAATTTTATTACCATTAAATATACATTGTATATAATGTATATGAAATTATTAAAATAAATATGAATCAAATTTTAAATTAATTTTCAATTTGAAAGAAGTTTCTTTTAATTAAAATAATAAGTTTTATTGAAAAAATATATATATATATATATAAGATATTTACACATTCATAAATGATTATAGTTTTTAAATTTTTGTTTATAACACTTGCTTATATACTACTTTGACCGTGTGAAAAGCATTATTTTCTCAAATTAACGCCACAATATTGGATTGTTTGACCACAGATTAATAAATAGTTTACCAACAGATACATCACTCCCATACAAAAGCGAAAAAACCTACGCTATAATAGCCTACAAAATCTTAATAATAATATCTGCTGCTCGCAGCGAGAAGAAAATGTACTGTAAGTACGCGCACCAAGAGTCGAGATTGTGTTGCCCGCCGTGCAACCACGTGCAAGCACGTCATCGCACGAATGCGCTAGGGCTGTACCAAGGTTGTACCTATGATGATTATTGTCTTCGATCAAATTGTAATAAAACGAATGTTGCGAAATACATACATACTAACAATATTTTTTATTTGTCAATCAAATATGTTTGAGTTTTATAAAATGATTTATACATTTTTTTCCTTCTCTGAATTCTCGGTTATTAAATTTTATCGTTGAAGTTTCCTAAATCGCGTAAATAATTTTAATAAATAATCATGAGGAAAACAGTACCAAAGCAGAGGAAAAACAATGGTTTGTAAAATCTGCAACATGGTGCTGCCAGGCCGGTTCATTATGACGTTTTCAAAATTATTTTATATTATTTGAGAATGATCTTTCCAATTCTTCAATATAATTATTAAACGGTTCTGTGGGAATTTTAACCCACCATAAAAGATGAATCTTTATTATAAGCTTTGAAATGAGTACACAGTGTTGTTTCGTCAACATTAGAGTTCTCCTGTAACAAATCATTGAAGCTAGTGCAGTTTTTTTTTTTTTGCATCACTTATGTAATAAATACTTTAATACATAAGTCAACGCAAAAAAAGACAATTTTTATTTGTTTTTTTTTTTTTACTTTTACACCCACCCACTGCACAATAATTACATGATTTTGTCATTTCGACGAGTAAGCGCGGGAAACGGTGCTTGCGGCAGCCTAATGTCGGTTGTATCGTGGACGATACGCAGAGCGGTAGGCATATAACGCGTGGCCTAGAGCGAGTGACGGAGGCCTGGTTCGGCCCTGTGCTTTATTGATGTACATACTATAAGCCAACTTGACTGGGAGTTGTAATCGCTTAAAATTAAAAAGGTAATCCATTTGATATTAAAGGTATTCATGGTATTAAATACTGTTTGTCCTTTTTCTTTACCCGTTATTATACCGGCCTCGATGATTTTATTCTGTAGCTGTTTGATGCAGAATCTTGTACCATTAGCCATTACACAATTTCGTAAGTTGTAAGTTGAGATTTCGTAGTACACAAAATGATTGGCGAACCAACTTTCAATTTAAGACAATGTAAATTCCTGGTACATTCAACCAATTTAAAAATTCGGTAGGGAAATTGATGTTTTCATCTTCATCAGTAATTTTATCGATCGACCTGTAAGTATTCGTTGTTCAGGTATATCTACAACATTTCATAATTCATTTGTCAGTACGATTTGGCCAAATTTTTATCTATTGGATAAGTGCCTTCTCCAATTCGTAGTAGATTTTCGGAAAATTCTTGCGCTTTTACGTCTCCTGAAATTTGTACTCTCATATTATTGATAACTTGAAGGTTTGTACATGTTGCCATATGGGTGATTTCTTCAAGCAGGCATTAATTTCATCCACTAATGTCGATTTCGGAATGACGAGTAGCGTTTGACGTAAATCACCTGACAATATTAACAACACACCTCTTTAAGCTTGTATTATTTCGCAGATCTTGAAGTGTTCTAAGTGCTTCTAAAGACTTCCGGTGAGACAGTGTGCTTTCGTCCTATGAGATGGCTTTGCACTTTTTCAATATTTGTCTGCGTGCTGATGATTTGATAATGTCACATACTGGAAATTCATAGTCGGCAACATTTAAAGGTAATTTTAGTGCGAAATGTGTTGTTCGTCTGCCATCCGTTAGTGTAGCTGCTATTCCCAATGATGCTATGGCGGGTGCAATTTCTTTGTTTGCACGAATTTCAGCTAGGATTAAATTAATTAAAAAATGTCTTTCCATTACCACCAGTTGCATCCAGAAATATAATACCAACATGTTGTTTTTTATAATAATCCAATATTATATCACATACCTATTTTTTTTACTTTGAATTAAAGGTTTGTTGCGTTGAATGTAGCTCTAAAAATATATATATATATATATATATATATATAATTACATATATATTATCATCATCATCATCATTACAGCCCTTCACAATATTATATCACATACCTATTTTTTTGCTGTCCAGTCGAGTTGAATCCGTCGATTGACCTCTCGGTCGAAGTTGGACTTACCTAGTCGGACTATTTGTCCCAGGTAAACGTACTCGTCAACAACTTCGAGCATAGTGCTCCCAACAACTACCGGCATAGGTGTGACATGGACATTAAACATAATCTTTGTTTTGTCCATGTTCATCTAAAAACCTATCTGTTGGGAGACACCATTGAGGTCATTGAGCATAGTGCTAAGGTCCTACAGCGATTCTGCCATAAGGACTATATCGTCGGCAAATCGAAGGTGAGTGATGTACTCGCCATTGATGTTAATACCGTATCCTTTCCAGTCCAGTAGCTTGAAAACGTCTTCCAACGCAGCGGTGAAGAGTTTCGGGGATATAACGTCACCCTGTCTTACACCTCTCTGCAGTTGGATAGGTTTCGAACTCTGGTTCTGTACTCGGATAGCCATCGTAGCCCTACTGTACAAACACTTCAGCACTTCGATATACCGACAGTCAACTTGGCACCGCTGAAGGGACTGTAGCACCGCCCAAATTTCGACGGAATCAAAGGCTTTCTTATAGTCCACATACGCCAGGCAAAGTGGCAGATTGTACTCTTCGGTCTTCTGTACAATCTGCCGCAGGGTATGTATGTGGTCTATGGTACTGAAGCCTTTCCGAAAACCGGCTTGTTCGGGAGGCTGGAAGTCGTCGAGTCTGCGTGCGAGACGATTCGTCGGGTAAGACTTGCTCTTGGATCGTTACTCACACTTGCGTGTGGCTCCAACGATGATGTGTACAGCTGGCCATAGAACCTCTCAATCTCACCAAAATCTCAGGTGTACCGGAAACGATGCTGCCACACTCAGTCTTCAGCTTTGACAGTTGGCTCTTTCTGGCAGACAGATCTCCGGCAAAGACTTTGGAGCCCTGGTTCCGCTCGATCGCTTCTTTAATACGAGCAGTATTAAAGTTGCGTAAGTCTCGCCGCACGCATTTGGAGATCTGTCTGTTCAGTTGCCTGTATGCTGTCAAATCTGTTGACGATTGCAGCCTCATCTCCCGTCTAACAGCCATGAGATTAAGAGTGTGATCGGAGAGTTTTTGAGTTCTTCTGCGGCGGGTCTTGCAGAACTTAGGTCCGACATGACATGACATGGACAGTTTCCACGAGCTTGTCATTCACATCGTCCACTGCATTGCAATCTTCTAGGCACTGAAAGCGGTTACGTAACTCGAGCTGAAAAGTCTCGGGATTCTGGATTAGAGCACGAGGGGGGACGGAGCGTTGACTTCATTAGACGAGGCCTCTCCAACTTAACGTTTAGGTTCAGTGTGCCTCTAACCATTCGGTGATCGCTGCCGGTTTTCACCCTTGCGATCACTGGGACATCACTGAACAGTTGGCGTCTGGTCGTCATAATGAAGTCAATCTCATTTTGTGTCCAACCGTCGGGGCTCGACCAGGTCCACTTCCTGTGGGGTCGCTTCTGGAAGAAAGAGTTCATCATAAAGAGTCCCTCTTTCTCCATAAAGTCAGCCAGCTGCTGGCCCCTACGGTTCCGTTGCCCTACTCCAAATTTCCCTAACTTCAGCTCACCGCCTTCTCTTGTGCCTAGTTTTGCGTTTTTTTTTTTTTTTTTTTTTATAGAAGAGGGGGCAAACGAGCATGTGGCTCACCTGATGTTAAGTGACTACCGCCGCCCATGATCAACCGCAACACCAGGGGAATTGCAGGTGCGTTGCCGGCCCTTTAGAAAGGAGTAAGCTCTTTTCTTGAAGGTCCCCAGGTCGTATCGGTCCGGAAAAATCACCGGTGGTAAATTATTCCACAGAGAGGTTGTACGCGGAAGAAAACTCCCTTTGAAACGTACAGTGGTGGACCGCCAAGCATCCAGATGGTGTGGATGGTATCGGGACGTTTGCCGTGTAGTGCGTTCACGAAATTTGGCGGCTGGGATTAATCCGAACAATTCCTCAGAGCACTCCCCGTGATAGATGCGATAAAATACGCAAAGAGATGCAACATCTCTTCGCAGCGCCAGTGAATCGAGCCGATCGGAAAGCACTCGGTCGTCAACGATTCGAGCCGCTCTGCGCTGGATGCGGTCAAGTGGAAGGAGCTGGTACTAGGGAGCCCCAGCCCAGAGATGGGAACAGTATTCCATGAGCGGCCGAACCTGCGCCTTGTAAAGTTGCAGGCGGTGTGCCGGCATGAAATACTGCTTGAAGTCTCCCATCAACACCGTGTAGTGGGTTTTGGAGGAATGCATGGCTCTAGAAATATCCTTATACATTTCCTCCACCTCCTCATCGGGATGTGCCGAGGTTGGTGCGTAGACCTGTATGACCTTCAGCGAATACCGTTTGGTGATTCTGAGTATCAGGTACGCGACCCTCGTCGACACACTCCCAATATTTACAACGTTGTTGACGAGAGACTTGTGGGCGATAAATCCGACACCTCCTTGGGACAGATGGTCGCCCTCCCGGTGATAGAACAAGTTGCCGGACTCGAGGATTACCGTGTCCTCCCCCTTTTTTCGGACCTCAGATAATCCAATAATATGCCAGCGCAACTTGTCTACCTCTTCTTCCAGCTCCAGTATCTTCTCGTCAGTCCTCAGGGTGCGTGCGTTATACGTTGCCAGGTCGAGTCGTCGTAGGTGACAACCGAACCTCCACCGGAGATTCTTAGCACCCCCTGCCCCGCCGTTACCATGGTCGCCACCGTAGCCAGGAATAGCGGGGCCGCCGGGGATTGGGGGCCGTTTATTTGCGTCGTTGCTCATGGGGGGATATTTGCCATAGTTGCCACGCTTGGCGAGCGGGTTGGTAATGCAGTTTTTTATTATGTTATTGTTGTTATTAGGAAGACGCTGCTGCCCATCTCCTTTCTGTGTCCCTCTGTCGCCTCTTACGACACCCACGAGAAGATATGGGGTAGTGGATATTCTCAACCGCCACTACACGGCTATATATATATATATAATAAACGTAAATAGAAGCATTGAGCGTTTTTTGGATGGACGGTGTACACTCTGCCTATTGTATTACTCTGAAAAACACCATCTGCTCCATCACTGGCATTCTACGTTTTAGAGCGATAAATTTTTTACTTGATATATCCCAAGTGTAGTAAGATGGTACGGTACTTCCGAGTAAAGTTTTAACAAATGGATCTATTCGGCGCAGCAGTTCTGCTCATGAAGAACCTTCACGCTATTTTCGGGAAAGAGATAAGGGAGCTGAAGGATAGGGTTGCTCAACATAACAACCTCCTGTCGGAAGCTGAAACCCGAATCGATCAAGTGCAGAGCAATCAAAAAAAAAAAGCAATGGCGGACGTGCGAAAACGCTGGATGACCTCAAACTTGGGGATGGAATTACAGCTCCCGTGGTAGCTACAACACCTTCGCTACGTGGATTCAAAGTCCCGCAATTCGATGGGACTTATTCCTGGTCAGCGGATTTTATTGTAGAATTTATTTTATTGTGAAAGTACTTCGGTGACACCGGCTTTCGCAAACTTTGGAAGAGAATTACGGCTGCCTGTGGACCTGATCATCGAAATACCACCTGATGCCCCACGCGGTATAATTGATTATGCAAATGACTTGCGGAACAAAATGAATGACATTTATAAGCACGTCAGACAATCGGACCAGCAAATGTCTGAAAAGATGAAAACCCGGTATGACCACAAAACTAACAACAAAGGGTTCGAAGAAGGGTACGGAACAATTTAGAACGTTCTTGAAAAATCTGAACACAAACGTATGTATGTATGTACGCCATTCAACACAGCCTTGAGCTTATATTAGTCGTACAATGTGTTCGAGAAGGATAGAAGTATCTCATTCTTATTACACATTTTTACCACCCACATCCACCCACTGCAACCAACTTCCCTTAATTGCAAGTGCATACGTGGGGCCTTCTACTATTACAATCTTAAGTGGATGATCATGGAGAAAAGGCTGAACATACAGCCGGAACCGAAAACCTTTCGTTTCAGATTATTATTTTTGTGGTTTCGATCTTTCCTTCATAGTTTTACGGGCTGAGGACCGTCTCATATGCTGTAATTGAGTAGATTTACATGTAAAATTTTATCTTACAGTTTCTAATAATAATTTTTATGCTTATCGTTTATTGCAACATCTTTGGATTATTTAAAAGATCGAAATCAACTTATTTACAAACTATACTGATTGATATTTACAAAATTATACTACATTATCACTGTTTACGAAAAAAAAAATACCTTTTTAGCAACATCGCAGTAATTGTTCAAAATGTCCGTCGATTCTTTCTAAACACAAACTAGCACGTCTTTATAAATTGTTTGTTAAACTTTCACTAACACTTTGTGCTTCTTCCGTGTACACTAATCGTTTTAGTTCGGCCCACAAATAAAAGTCTAGAAGTGTTAGGTCTGGTGATCTCGCCGGCCAATTCACAGATCAACCGTAACCTATCCACCTATCACCGAATTGGCTGTCCAGCACAGATCGTTTGCATTGAGCTGAACATCCATCGTACTGAGTACATTCCTTGCAGATGCCTCAGGGGAACGTTTTCCAACATTGTGCCGATTACGGAACGTATCATTTGCAGATACGTTTCTCCAGTCGATCGACCTTCAATTCATATTGGACGAATGATGTGGTCGTTAAAATTGCCTTCCAAACGTTCACACAGAAACGAACTTGACAAGCTTTTTCTTTGATTTTGTGTGGATTTTGGAAACTCCACCAGTGTTCATTGTGCACGTTGTAAATTCCAATGCGGGTAAATATCGACTCATCACACCGTCAAAGTTTTCATCAGACAATTCATAAAATCTCACCATTGTAAAATTGTATTCGACATAAAAATTAGTACACGTTTACGATAACTATCAGCAGGCGGCCGATACACACGCGGAAACATAAACAATTTATACGACGTCACGCCGTAGCTATTCAAATCTGACTAAAATGAGAGCGCAGGCGGCTTTGCTCTTGCGCCTGCGACCCCGCGAAAAGACTAGGACAAGGACAAAGAGGCCTACGGTGAGCGTGTTACAAATTCATTGTTTTATTGCCGCTAGTGATGTTTAATTGATTTATTTATTTAGTTCAAAATTTTATTTTTATATTTTTAGTATGTAAAATTTATTTCAAATTATAGTATTTATTTACCGATAGATCGATTTCATAATATGTTAATAAATTTAAAAAAATTGTAATCAGCGCCATAGCCTTCTACTCCGTTTACCTGTTACACTCTATTTTTTAGACGGTAAAAAAGTCAAACATTTTATACCACAATTTTAAAAGTGAGGTACCTTATTGCGAGTTTGATCTTTTTTGCGACGTTCAATTATACAATGTAGTCATTTATTAATGGTGCTGTCAACTACCTCATAGATCATTCCGATTCAGAATGCCGCGTTTCGGCGCTAAGTTTGTTGCCAGTAACACTTACCCCAGCTGGTGAACTCCCATTTCATCTCGACGTAGAAGTCGGGTGCGAGGCTGAGCCGACGCAACAGATCGGGCACACCACTAGATCGCGCCAAGTGACGCTGTTTGTCGCGCCGAGACAACACCAGCGACAGCAACTGCGGGTCGCCAGTCGCCGTCGCCTCCTGTACCGCTGCGGAATGGTGATGGTATCTAGTGGATTTTCGCGCAAACATCAGTATATTTTTGACCGTCTTCTCTTCACATATCATCCCCTGGGTGTCGTTAGAAGTGACAGAGGGAAACAAATCAGGAGGTGGTTAGAAGCGCCTTCCTAATAGCGACTAAACTAAATAACTGGATGGACTCGTTTTTTCTTTCCATTACCATTACAGTCTATAAGACCAATGCTGAACATAGGCCTCTCCCACCAGAAGATCATTATAAAAGATCATCGGAGAAAATTAGTATAGAAGAACACCGGTCAATAGAGAAGAACGTCAGTCAAGAGAGAAGATCGTCGGTCAAGAGAGAAGATCGAACATACCAAATTAATCCCCGTTTCTGAGTATAGTATCTAATAAGGGAGACTTTGCCATATTTTAGCCACGCTTAGCAGTCGGGTTGGCAGCTGAATTTTTTTATAATATTGAGTAGCATCAGGGAGATGCTACTGCCTATCTCTGTTTCAGTTTCCCTCTGTTGCCTCTCACGACATAACGACACCCATGGAACTATATGGGGTAGTGGATATTTTTACACCGCCCCTATACTTTTAAGAGACTAAAGAAAAATGGGAAAATTATGTCATAGTTGAAGTTTCTGTAGGGCGCAGAAAGCTAAAATGTATGTTCTTTTATATATGTATACATCTATCTATGAATCAATATGCAGATTCGTTGTCACCCGTGAGGACTAAGATGGAATGCCTCGTTTCCAGTAAAAGGGGTCTCCAGTTCTCTACACTCACTATACGAAACATAGCAGCGTTAAGCTGCTATTTTACGCTGGCATTCGTTACCCATTCGTGCTACACCTATACTACTAATATAGTATAATATAGCTACAGCATGGCTCTACCACGAATAATGTATATGTGTAATGTATAATATGTGTAAAGCCGGCAATACATGTTATCCAAGCCTGAACCAACGTGAGCGTAGGCTAATTGATACAAGGCAAGTGCTACAGTCTACATGTGGGCCAAGTTTGAATGATTCACTCACTCATACTGACATGGCCGACTAATATGTGGACACGACTTACGGAGTGCAGTGCAGTACAGGCGCTTGTAATTTGTGCAGTAAAACCGACATTGTACCGAGGTGAGACAAGTCGTGGCGAGCGATCCCGAGATCGTTGGTGCTCGCCTGCACTCGGAAGATAGGCCAGCGACGACGAGCAATGGCAAGGCTGGACAAATGGAGTGTCTACACGTTGGTAATCGCCTCAGCTCGGCCAACATGTATAACCGGCTTTACAAATTTGTTTACAAATACGTACGATAAATAAAACACATATTGTTTACGTTCATACTGCTAATGTAGGAGAGTAAATACCAAAAGGATATATTACAATCACTACGTTTTAGACAAAAAGAAGCACACATGTGTTTATTTTATATTTTGTAAATTAGATATCTGTGTTTTATATATTGATATGCAATTAAAAGTGAAATCCAGCTTGATTAATTTAGAACCTAAAAATTTTATGAAATACAGTCAAATGAATTTCGAATTTCGAACCTACACGACCACTGGTTTAATAAAAGACGTGCATGGAGACCGAAAATCAGCTAAAACTACTCAATTTGAAGTTATTAATAAAATAAAAATTATTTAAACTTATACCAATAAGTACATACCGAGGTAGGGGTTGCTGTATGAGTAATGTTAAGCAAACGAATCGTGATATCTCCGATGCGTATCGAACGAACACTTCGCACCTTTTTTGCTTATCGATACCATTAACATTAACATTAGAGGACTAGCGTATTTGTTGTTGCGTCATCTGTCAGATAAGGACGCTACACACGGCTTCGTTACAGATATTTTTTAAGCAATAACGAATATTTTATTATATTCATTGCCGTGTAATGACAGTATAAGAGAAGTAATTACCCAATTTCTTAAACATGGGTTTAATTACAGTTAAAAACAATTTCTTAGTGGGTTGCTGTGGCTCATAGACATCTATATCTATCCTCGATTAGAATCAAAATGGATACGTGAGGACTTAGATGGAATCTGTTTTAGAGGTGTTCCCCCGGTCGAGCCGACACATTCATATTCATACAACTATACTACTAATATAACTGCAGCATGGCTCTACCACGTTTAAAAATTGTGAATCCCTTTTCTGTCTAACCGTAGGAGTTCATCTTGGTACCACCTTTTTAAATATTTTTACCACGAAGCAACAGTACATGCACTGCTATGTTCCGTTCTAAAGGGTATAGACACCAGTGTTATTATTATTAGTGTACCATAGCCCAACGGATTAGTAAGTGGAAGTGGCAATGGGCCGGCCATATAGCTCGAAGAACCGATAACCGATGGGGAAGAAAGGTGCTCGAGTGGCAGCCTCGTACCGGTAGGCGTAGTATAGGGCGACCCCCTACTAGATGGAGTGACGACCTAGTAAGACATGCAGGAAGTCAATGGATGCAGGTGGCTTTGTGGCATTACTTGGGGGAGGCCTATGTTCAGCAGTGGACTTGTGAAGGGCTGTAATGATGATGATGATGAGGTCCTTCTTCTGACGAGCCGAGCCATTCATAATACCATTGGAGAAACTCCAGCTATTTTACAATTATAGTCTGTGAGGCGTTCCATTTTTGCCCTCATCCCAAGAGGTGACAACGTATCATATCTATGTTTGAAGTTGGTAGAACCAATAACCAACCTTGGTTGGCTGTTTGAAGGTGTGCCCAGGCTGCAGTCGCCACTAATCCAGGTGAACTTCGTTTGTCATTTCAGATTTATAAAAAAAGAGATGTTTTTTATATAAGAGTTGGCTCATCTGATGGTGACTACCGCCGCCCATGAAGAATGATGTAACACCAGGAAAATTATAGATGTAAAAATTAGGCTCTTTTCTTGAAGGTCCCAAAGTCGTATCGGACCGGAAAAATCGTATCCGCAGGGACGTTGTACGAGGAAGAAACTTCTAGTTAATCGCACAGAGTAGACCATCTTGTGTAGGTCAGACGTAATTTACCTATACCAGCGACTGGCAGCAGCTGTCGTCAATGCGCCTGCCAAGCTAGACTCCAGGCAAATTCTCCAGACAAGGGGATAGAACCATGTCCAGCAGTGGGCTTTCACGGACCGATAAAGAAGAACAAGAAATAGATAATCACCTGTCCAGCCATCTTTTTCGCAGTTGACATCAGCACCAGCGTCGATCAGGGCTTGAACCGCCTCTATGTATCCCAGAGTCACAGCCAGCAAGAGGGGAGTGCGTCCGCGAGGATCCCGCAGTTCTATATCCTCTTTTGTGAACTGAAAATTTACATCACAATTAGAGCCAATGTAAACCTGTTTTTTTAGAAGTACACTACACGTGTAACTTAAAACAGTTTAAAACCGCAAACTGATATTGATATTTTTCCTGCTAACTATTTGGTTTTCATGTCATTCATGTATTGTATAATCATTAGATAAATCTACAAGCATACGTATATTGCCAATTGTTAGCAAATAATACGTCCCTAGATAAATATACGTGGTGGAGCCACGCTGCAGCTATATTAGTAGTACAGTTGTAGCACGAATGAGTCGGCTCGACCGGGGAAGGACCACGCTCTCACAGAACACCAGCGTAAAATGGTAGCTTTATGCTGCTGTTTCGTATGGTGAGTGTAGAGAACCGGAGACCCCTTTTACTGCAAACGAGGCATTCCATCTTAGTCCTCAGGGATGCCAACGCATGATTCGTAGTCGAGGATAGATGTAGATGTCTATGGACCACAGCAACTATTTACCATCAGGTGTAATGAGTGCTCCTTTGACACTCTTATCCTATAAAAAGACATCCTAACTATACCAATCTATAATAAAATACAATCTAAAATATTTTAAACCTTTTGATAGATAAGATCTGCACATTTTCTGGGACTTTGTACTAAAAGCGTATACATTGCCCCATAAAGGCACTACTGACTTTTTGGAGTCGAGTAAATAGTATAACTTGTGCTTGTTCCGAGTACGTATTTACAGAATGTACATATCATCAGTATTTTTAATATAACTATTTTTGTTTTTGTGTACATATATTAAATTTTCGTAAATATTATTTATTATTATTATATATTAATATATTGTTTCGTAAATATTTAATTTTTTTTACGTGGTAGAGCCATGCTGCAGTTATATTAGTAGTATAGTTGTAGCACGAATGGGTCGGCTCGACCGGGTAAGGACCACGCTCTCACAGAATACCAGCGTAAAATAGTAGCTTATGGTGCTGTGTTTCGTATGGTGAGTGTAGAGAACCGGAGACCCTTTTTACTGGAAACGAGGCATTTCATCTTAGTCCTCACGAGTGACAACGCATGATTCGTAGTCGAGGATAGATGTAGATGTCTATGGGACACAGTAACCACTTATCATCAGTTGGACTATGCGCTAGTTTGTCACCCTATCCTATTAAAAAAATATATATTAAGAGGCCAAAGTTAATATATTTAATTGTTAAAAATTTTCTCTAAGGGATTTCTTAGGTGCTAGGTTATAAATTGCTCTTATGGCTCTCTTTTGTAAAACGAAGATAGTTTCAATGTCAGTCGCATTACCCCCTAGCAAGATTTTATATGACATCATGCTCTGAAAATAATTAAACTAAACTATTCTAGCCGTTTCAACACATGTAAGCCCTCTAAATTTTTTTTACTTAGTTTGCTAGCTAGTTTAGATATATGAGGGCCTCATTGAAGCTTCGCGCCCACTGTTCCGAGAAAAACAGTGTTTTGTATTAATAAAAAAATAACCTGACTTGTATTTTATTTATTTTACCTTCATGTTTTAATTCAATAAGCGCGTATCGGTATCGCCGATATTTTTATACGAGCGTCGGTATCGGTATCGGCAAAAAGGCGTATCAAGGCAGCCTTAATATTTATATGTCATATATCATACAATACATCCGAAGAATAATTTAAATTTTAAAAGTGTGAAGGTCTTTTATTCTAACAGTAATAATCGCGCATTTTAAGTATGTTGATGTACGCACAGCACAACAAACAATGATGTTTTCATAAAATGTACAGAAAGAGAAAAAGAATAGTTCGTAATGCATTTAATTTATACTTGTAAAACAATACTGAATAGAAATGTCTAAACTAGTGATAAGCAGACGATGTACTCATGGAAGAAAAACAATAAATAAAAAAAAGAGCATCCGTTGAACTTTAGACTAAAAAAGAAAAAGAAAACAAGGGTGCTATTAAATAAATAACAGCAAATGAACGGAGGATAATTAAATAAAAAAAAAACAGTAATAACCGACCGGTTATAGTTTACTTCACTTATCGACCATGACGAAATTTTACTTTTAGGTACTGCTGAAAAGCGACTAGCTAGCATAGACTAACTAGGCATCTCTTAAAGGAGGAAAAACTTTCATTAATCATTCCCCTACTCATTATTAGCCAACAAGAATGAAAAACCGTGTATGTTTATTTTGTCATATTGTTACACAATACCTTTGTAAAATGTGAACCAATTTTAGAAGGATTTTTCATTATCTGGGGGAAAACACTGAATCCGGTGAAATAATAATGAAGTTTTTAAAGTAACTAACATTTCTAGTTTGTGATATTCTGTAACCACTCAAAAAATGCCCAAAAATTAAACTATATAAAAAAAAGTAAAATCCAACGTCGAGGAACTAAAATAATAAAATAATTTTAAAACTTCTGTAACACATAACTTTTGAAGTCGGTTCTAAACGCTAACCGACTTCAGAAGCTATTATGTGGAAATTATGTAAATCTTGATGTTAATTCAGCATTAAAAAATAGCTAATATTTAACACAATACATTAACTTCAGACTGATTTGTATGGCTTTGTATGATAATACGATTATTAGCATTTCTTATAAGTGCAGTGTTTGTCTGGCTTCAAAGCCTTACACAAAAACTGTCTATTACAACATTTATGCACAATGTAAGTAAGTATCTAAAGATGATTACAGATTATGCCAATTATCTCATACTTTCCTAGACAAAACCAGAGAAAACGTTCATCAATTATAGTCAGAATAGGTACTTCACCTAAGTAACTCAATTAACATTTCACAATGTAATTTTTTACTCTTTATTGACATTCCTTAGTAACCACGGAAAGTCCACCGTGACTTAGTAAGGGGAAAAGTTTATTTAACTTGCATGCGCGATTTATCTAATTAATAATAATAATGTAGGCTATTAAACGTCGGCAAATAATCAACATCAAAGGAGTGCAATTTCTGTACGTAGTACTATTATTTATTCTTCACGCAGGTAGCAAGAGTGACAGAGGACTGCTTTTGGGCTGTGCAATGATCGTTGATGTTATTTTTTTTTCAGGATTTGAACTACCCAAAAACGGAAGCTTTGTTTGTTAACATGTCCGTTGATATGAAAGTGGGCTTAATCACTAAAAAAGATGTTATAAAAATTTTCGAGTCTGCCCAAAATCTCGTTCACAAAATTAAGTCGTAAGATGTAATTATTTTCGTTTAATACCTAAACAATTTGAATCTTATAAGCTTTAAGCTTCAAAACTTGTTTAAGAATTTTGTAAACAGTTGATCGATGCTCGTTTAACTGCGCTACTTTCTAGCGAATTGAATCGCATGGATTTTCGCGTATCGCCTCTCTAAAACGGTCAATATTCTCATTGGTCCTTGAAGATTTTGGGCGGCTCGGTGGATGGGATGGCAGCGGAGAACTGGTTTTTTGAAATCTCTTCACCCAATCTTGAATTAGTTTGTTTCTTGGAGTTTGTCCAATACCATGTAAACGATATTCTGTTACGGGACCCCGCTCTTCCATAACAATGTATCTAAAATTGTTATGGAAGAGCGGGGTCCCCTAACATAGGTATTGATATACTTAAAAGGAGACCCCAGCCTAGTTAATGTATTTAAATTTAAGATACTGAATAAAGAATTTTGAATTTGAATTTGTTCGATATTTACGACGCACGATTACGTAAGATTTGTTGTTTTCAAGAAACGTGGTTACACAAAAAGCAAGTTGCTCTCCCGTATAACGCGAAATGGCCACATGGCGACTAAATTTCCACAAAATGGCGTCTCACTATTCATTCCCCTTCACGCGTTGCTGGTTCTTCCCAAGACAGACCCAGGACAGAGGTTTTCTCTAAACCAGTTACCAATGCATAAATGACTCATAATTTTTATTGTAATAAAGTATTGAACATAAGCCTGTCCTATAGGGTTTCTCACAGGCAGGATTTTCGCCTTAATTGTTACACTTAGTTGGCAATCGCAGCTTTTCATTATGTTGAGCTCTATTGCCTCTAAAGACAGGGCTCTTATGGGGTAGCGGATTCTCTGCCACTACACGGCATACATATAAACATAGGTGTAAATAAGTTCTTAATTAAAGAAAAACAAACAACATTATTTGTAAGTAATATTTCATCCTTTCAAATAGAAACTTAATAGGAAAGACTTGCTTTCATGTAAGCGAATAAAAGTACAGATATATTATAGAGAGCACTCTGCAAAGCAAACAAAAAAGTTCTTGTAATTGGCCGGCGGCCAGAACGAACTGAAACTAAAGCCCGGTTTACATTTTGAGAAGTGACAAGTGCGAGCGGCAATGACGGGCAGCAAGTGACAAATGACAAGTGACAAATAGCAAGTTGGTGTTCACACATGTGGCAAGTGGATGTCATTATTATGTGAAATCTGCGAGTGTGAAATTGGGTAGGTAATTGTCAAAGAGGCGCTAGCATAGCTTTAAAGTTTAAAACTTTAATAAAAAAAGGTAAAATTGTATCATGAGATCCAAAGATGTGTGAAGTGCCTTATGCAAAGATATTGGTGCACACCAATTTCCTAAAAACGCTTAAGTGAGAAAAATGTGTCTTAAAGTTATAAGATTTAATATTGTATAAACATTCATTCGTGTTTCAATAATTCCTTGACAAATTTAATGTTATCGCTATCTGTTCACTTCGGAATAAAACAAAATTATTATAAATACGAGTATATATACAATATATATTATAATAAAAATATTTTATTTAATAACTATTATAACCAACACGTGTATGTTCTGACGTCGCCGCTAGAACGGGGGCAGCGGTGGGTGACTGAGGGGAAAGCAAGGTTAGCGCGGGTTGCCGCTCGCACTTGTCACTTCTCAAAATGTAAACCGGGCTTTAAGCCCGTGCTTAAAGCCCGGTTACGGCGGCCGACAAGTGCGAGTGACAATGACAAGTGACAAATGACAAGTGCTTAGTGCGTGTGAACAGGCAGTGACAAGTG